GCTCACTGGAGCCCAAAATGGTGCTCAGGCTTAGGCTCATGCTCATATATTTGGCTTATGTTGAAGCCTATGGTTGAGCTTAGGCTTAGTCTTGGCTTGCTACGAGCAAATGAGCAATGTTCTATTTTAGGTGACCTGACCTGAGAGGAGGAGGAGGCCGATTTCAGACTTTGCGAATCGAGGCTTCGCTACTAGCGAGTCACTCGCCTTGCAAAGTATGACATCGGCCGAACTCCGGCCCTAGCGCCCTCTGACCCGTGGAAATACCATAATCTCAGTGCTTACAGCGTGTGGGTGAATACTTCGCCCACACGCGGCTGGTCCATATGACAAAGAACTCAACATTGTCCTTCAAAAAATTTTTTACCGAATACATCTGAACCATTGGGGGTTTGGATATTCCTGGCTGCGCCCTCACGCAAGGCATTTTGACATTCTACTCCATGAAAGCTCACCTCTCCTAATTTCATGATTGCTATAAATACTGTATGCGAAAAAACCTCTCTAATTTCTTCCAAATGTTCTATGGAATGTTGGACAACGGTACTGATCTTGATGCCTTTTTGTACTTTACTTTTTCAATTATTTGAAATTTTTATCCTTATTACTAGCAATAACACAAAGGAAACAAGCGACGCTATCGCAAGATATGGGGCATCTTGTAGGGCACAGCATAGGATGGGTTAGGAACTTTGGGTAAAATGAGAATCTGCTCACGCACCCTGGAATCCCTCCTTCCTCGCCTAAGACTCAGTCCGATCTCAACAAAAATAGAGATTTTTTACGCGGTTTGAATGCACTGCCACAACAATGCCCCCGCATCTTGCGAGAGCACCAAATAAGCACACAAATTCTCAAGAGGAAAAACGAAATATGAAAAAAATACCTTGACCCATTCCATCAGATTCTGAGCCTCCTCATTGTTAAACTTGCTAGCTTGCTTGTCGAGGATTTTCCCTGAACACTGAACTGTCAACAGAAGGAGAAAACTACGCAGAAAAACAGAAAACTCATTCAAAATTAGACTTTCAGAACAGTTCAAAAAGCTCAGAATTCACTTGTGATCCCAGCAGGAGGCGCACGCGTGGACTGCTCCATTGTGCGGTGGAGAAATGAGAAGTCATTCAAGTTTGCGAGCTACTAAACTCTTAAAGAGATGTGAAGATGATTCACTCGGCAAAATGTCGCAATCCATATGTTTCTTCAACAGAAAGGGCTCCCAGACAAAAGACAATGATGACTTGACGAACTCGAACCAACCTGTGCACAACTGGGCCAAAACAGTGCTCAAAAAAACCCTACATACAGTAACCTGATTTACATGGTTAGAAGGGACCACAGAAGTTCAAGATAATAGAGAATTATAACCGAAAAAATAAATACTTATTCGAACTTACCGGCCATACCGCCTGGTCTTGGACGATGATAAAGTTGTTGCTCCATGGGTAAAACTGTACGTGCTTCGACTTCAGTGAAGCTCGACTGATCGCAGACTATTTATCCAATATCTCCGCAGAATGGGCGGAGACGACGACGCAGCAGCGGAGATGTTTGGATTGCGACTGGGCGCTTCTCGGCTGCTCGATCGCCCAAGTGCACTGAGAAATCTCTCTGCAAAGCTCTATTTTAGTAGCACAGGGGTCACTGGATCCGAGCGTTTTTGAACGGTTTAGCTGCGAAGGAAGGGAGGAAATGCCGTGCCATGGTAGGTTTCTTGAAGAAATGGCAGAAATGATACTGTAGACGAATTAGAGCCTAGCTTTCACTAAGGAAGGGGAGCATCTGCAGGAAGAAATACACGAACACTCATCACCAAAACGATGAGATTGTGCAGCGACTTGAGGCGCATATCGGACTCAACGACATCCCCATAGTCGAAATTTACCTCCCCATATCTTCAGCCGGAGGCATCCTAGGTAGCCGTCTCAGAAATACAATAATCTTGGGTAATCGACGGAGAATTCGACCCCTGATACCGTCCCAATTTACGGCGGAGAGTCAAGTAGTTGTGTTAGCTTTACCCACGGAAAAGCGGCGTATGTTACTGAGTGGGACAGCGCAGGGTGACGATGGCAACGGATGCCTTTGAATGATGAGGAATTTGAAAGGTAGCCTGCAAGGATGTGTGGCAATGGGTACCTTAGGCCGGCAACAACTGTTGTAGTAGACTATTGTTGAAGCAGACATTTATTTATTTATCTATTTATTTATTTGTTTATTTATTCGTCCATGAAGAGGCGTTAGTGAATCCAGTGTGCAAAATAAATGCGATTATCGAAAGGGGAAACGGAAAAAAGTCTGGTCCAAGAGAACCAGCAGTACGTATACAACTAAGAAGGCTGGAGTTAAGATGCTCGAAAAAACACTCATAGCGAAAATGATCATCAGAAGGACGCGAAGACCTAGGCCTAACTGAGGCAGCAATGGTGATATCGGGCAATTACCTACACCAGTCGGCATGGTGCCCTTCAGCACCACAATGGGATCGTAGGCCTTGCCGCAACTTCGGAACACGGGTTTACTGGCAACCCTTGCGGGTAAGCTCAGAAACCACACCATGCGTTCCCAGAACATGCATGAGCTCCAACTTAAGAAAAAAGATGTTAAGGGAGCGAGAACGTCGACCAGTCCTCAGCCCTTGCAGATTAGCACCTCTTCCTCAACCACTAGAAAAGGGGTGTATTGTTCGAGTTAGTCTGATAGCATGGATTTTAGCTTCTAACCGCCGGTGGCGATATGACAGAAGTCAAAACGCCTACATTGGGCTCTGACCCACTTCTTTATCCTGATCAGATTACGGTCAAAGTGCATACGGTGAGAAGTTCTTTAGCTACTTATAAATACAGTCGCGGCACATCCGTTACGGTAGTGATGACAGTAGGAATGGAAAGAAAGAAGCGCGCAATCGCTCCATACGGGGACATCCTCTAGGACTAATTGTAAGCCTACTAGGGGCAGGAACTCCGGGAAAATGAAAATGGCTCACACACTGGAGTCTCTCCTCCCCGCCTAAGGCTTAGTCCCGTTTTTAACAAAAAGGACATGTTTTACGCGGTTTCAAATGCATTGCCATCACAATGCCCCGTATATTGCGATAGCGCCAAAAGAAGTACTATCAGCACAGTGAATCTGCCTAGCTTTAGAAACCAGACATTTTAACGATTTGTTTTCATCTTCTATCAATGATAACAGTTCAACACGGAACCAACCACATGCTATTGTTCCTTGTTACTAGGACGAGTGCACCCCGAAGCTAATTGTGATTGATGAGTTCTATTTGCGATGATCTCTGGCAGCTATTAGTTCATAGCTTCGCCAGGAGCTCCTACCAAGCTTTCAACACCAAGTGCAGCTGACTAGACGTTCACATGCCTGCCACGTCACTGTCCTTGCCTACATCATGATCACGAGTCCGAAGTTTATGAGATCGTTTTCGTGTCCTTTAAACTGCTTTTCATATTTTTTTTTCGAGAAATTTCTGGGAGCTCACTTGAACCAGGAAATTCTTTCGGGAAATGGAACGGTTTTTTTTGCATTGCATAGGAGCACGCGGTCGAGC